GTTTCAAAATCATTAAATGAAATCATTATGAATTGAGCAAAAATTGCACTCATTAGACCCAAAATGGACAYGTTGTTGAAAAGTAAGCAATGTTTAAAGAAATATAAACAGTGATTTATGTGTTTTTGTTGTATGGTGTCAGATTGTCCTGCAGGTGATTCAGCTGATTTCATTCTGCTCATCAGAGCAGAGGAGAAGAGGGGCTCAGTGAGAAGCTGATTACACATTTAGGGGGTCTTTTGGCTGCCAGTGGGCTGTGCTGCTAGCTGCTGTGGAGGTTTTCTCGCAGACAGCAGGTTTGATGTTGTGCCTTGTAGGGGTGTAAATCACCAGATTTATGACGATATGGTATTATACATCGGATTTGTTTGGATGGCGATACATTATTACTCAATATCACAAAGTCTGTCACGATGTGATTAAATTCACTTTACGAGTCTGCCATCGATATGATGCGATATTATATGATTGTGTTAAATGTACATATCGATCCATAGCTGGCATATGATGACAATACAGGTTGATTTTTTTCATTTTGCCCCGAGGTAATTAAATCAATAATCATTTAATCGATATATTGATGTGGATAGTTGTTTTGTTACACCCCTATTGCCTTTCTGTAGAGGTTAGTTTGTGCAGATTCTGATGAAAGCTGGTTAATGCAGAGGTGTTTTTCTCAGAGAGGTGTTCAATTTTTGTTTTGAGCTTAGTTTGTTTCAGTACTTTTGTTGTGGGGGCGGAGGGGGTGTGAGGGAGGTGAAAGTAATTATTTATTGCTTTACGGCTTTCTAGGCTTAGATTTTTTATTTAAATTAAAAAAMCTATTTAATTTACATTCAAGCTGTCTTTGTCATTTTCACTGACATTCTATATCGTCATGCTCCCTGCATTTCCTAGCCTGAAATCAGGGAATGTAACAAAATGTGCATAAAGTTTAATTCAATGCCTTTTGTTAAACCACTGTAACAATACATAATGAAACTTATTCATTTTATGAAAGGTGTGAAATAAAATGAACTGTCACATATAAAATGGTACAAAAAATACTTGACAGTTTCCCACAGAATATCCCACACYCCCCTCCATCAATAATAATTTAGTCAAGAGCAAGTGCGTGAAACTCATTTTAAGTAAGGGGCACATGGTGGTCCTCAAAGGACCAGTTGTAATGAACTTTGAAGTTTCATGTTTAACTTCGACTAAACTTGAAAAGCCACATTCCTCATCTCATTGCTACGACTGAGTATAGGTAACAAACAATAACTGAGCTCTATGTGGTATTTCCTGCATAGAAACAGTGTTTTAACCGCCCACTTCAGATGTTATCAGTGCATTAAATGGATGTTATTAGCAGTTATCAGTCCCATAGAATGGCTTCAGACTGTCAGCTGGTTAATATGAGGCTTAAAGCCACTAAGTTTAATTTGAGAGAAAATTACCTCGGCCAGGTTAAAATAGACCGGCAGATTGTTGCCTTCCAACATTTTAGTAGGTACACAGTCTGAAGCCATCTATGGATAACCCTATAGGGGCACAGTCAGGACAGTCTGAAGCCATTCTATGGGACTGATAACCGTTAATAACGTCCATTTAATGGACTGATAACATCCGAACCAGCTGGTTTTAATACGTCCTTTTATAAACACTGAAAGGTACTACATATACATCTGACTAAATGTTAAATAAATAATACAGAAATACTACTAAAAGTAAAAATAAGATACTTTTACTCTGTTGAGTTGTGGTGAGTAGCTGCCATCTTGAATTCTGAACTCTCCCACTTTCCCAAATGGAATCCCCACTGGTGACATTTCAGTTAAAATTTATAGCTTGTAAGTTGGAAATTCCCACTTCCTAGTAGGTTACAGCAAAAGAACCTGTAAAAAACGCAGCAAGATGGAGATTTTGTAGAGTGAATTGCTACATCTACTTTTAAACCTTTGAAACTCCTATTAGTGATGAGATGCTGACATTTAATGAGTAAAATAATCAACATATGATTATGAACAACACTGGACAAACCTTACAGAGTATACTTATTTAAAAACATTAATACATCTTTGACACTCTGTCAGGCCACATGCAAGTCTGTGGTGGTCCACATTTGGCTCATGGGCCTTGAGTTTGACTCATGGTCTAGAGTCATATCCGTTTGTGAAAATTTTACAGCTGACAGTTAAAACAAAGYAATGCCTTATTTATTAAGACAGTGTACATTTTCTTTAATATGAAATAAAATAGTTGTAATTTTTTACCATAAGAAAATCAATATAACTTGCTTAGTTTCACAGAAAGAAGAAGTGTGCTCTTTGTTATTCATACAGCTAAAACCTAAAATAAAGGCACAMTGAAAAAGGTAATCTCTGTGATATTAATGTGTTTTGCAACAGTTGACTATCTTCAGAGATTACAAGCTTATAAAATGAAATGAGACCCCACTCGTATATAAAATGTATTTTTCAGGCTTTYGGTTTGAAGTCAAATGTCCTGTAGAGAACTCAACAACCCAGTGATGATGTTTTCATAACTCAGGTTTAATGATATACAATAAAAAGCACTGAAACAAACTCAATGAGCTGCACTACTAGAAAGAAGCTGTAATGACTCAGAGAATAAGCTCTGTCAAGCAGTACTTTTAAAGCTCTTTTTTATAAAGTTCTAAATGTTTTGTTATCAGATATTTTCCTTTTGTGTGTGTGTGTTTTAAGTCCATACAAAGGAGAATATGTGTTAATGAGTCACAGTAAAGATTTGATAAAACAGGTTTGTTTCTTTGACTAGAAAACAGTTTATAAAATTGAATTTAACTCATCTGGCTGTCCTGGATTAAAATTAGATGGAATCAGTATGAATTTATTTGGTATACTGAGATTGGGATTTGGCAATATTGGCAAAGAAAATAAATCACGTTTATTTAAGGCATTTATCTGTCCGTCCGTCCGTCTGTCCGTTTTCTTCTGCTTATCCAAGGTCGGGTCACGGGGGCAGCAGCCTAAGCAGAGAGACCCAGACGTCCCTCTCCCCAGCCACTTGGTCCAGCTCATCTGGGGGAATCCCAAGGTGTTCCCAGACCAGCTGAGAAACATAGCCCCTCCAGCGTGTCCTGTGTATTCCTCTGGGCCTCCTCCCAGTGGGACATGCCCGGAACACCTCACCAGGGAGGCGTCCAGGAGGCATCCAGATGAACCACCTCAACTGGCTCCTCTCGACATGGAGGAGCAGCGGCTCTACTCTGAGTCCCTCCCGGATGACCGAGCTTCTCACCCTATCTCTAAGGGAGAGCCCAGACACCCTGCAGAGGAAACCCATTTCAGCCGCTTGTATCTGCTATCTCATTCTTTCGGTCACTACCCAAAGTTTGTGACCATAGATGATGGCAGGAACGTAGTCCGACCGGTAAATCAAGAGCTTTTCCTTCTGGCTCAGCTCTCACTTCACCACGACAGACCAGTACAGCGCCCGCATCACTGCAGACGCAGCACCAATCCACCTGCCGATCTCCCGCTCCATTCTTCCCTCATTCGTGAACAAGACCCCGAGATACTTAAACTCCTCCACTTGGTGCAGGACTGCCTGGCATTTATCTGATAATGATTAATATGACAATCAATATGAAAATTGGATTTGCATATTTTTAACTCAATACCCTGCACCTTTTCTACCATGTGGAGTGGCAGCATTTCTTTAGTAGCGCAATATGCTGTGGCCCGCCTTGCATTTTACTTCGCTGCTTGTAAGATGGACTGAGTGCATCTTGGATTCACAGCTGAGTAGATTTGTTTCCACCATTTGCTGGAGGAGAGTTTGGTGTCTGTCCACATTGCCTGGCGTATGGTTTATAGTGGTTGTTCAGGTGAATAAAAAAGTTCTTAGTGTTACTGTGTGCCGTCTTCACTTTGTTTCTGYACACCTTGCACATGGCCCAGACCTGCTCAAGGTTAGACCTGACGAGGCCAAACCAGTTCCACACAACAGAAGTTAAACCTTGTCTGGGACAAGCTGCTCTGCTCTGCCTTCCACTATTGTTGTTATGTTATGGGCTCACGTGCGCACTTTTGGTTAATGGTGAAAGTTGCCTCAAGATCATCATCACACAGCACTAATTGCAGTAACGCAAAGTGGCAAATTTGACAGTTTATTAATCACATAAATGATTATACAAAAGCCTAACTGACATATACTGTTATGTTTTTTTAGTGTTTGCTTTAGAGATTACAGTTTTTAAAAAAACTGCTTTATGATTTTCATCCTGGTATACTTGACATTTATCAAAGAAAGTAAATGGGGAGAAAAATTATTGTTCTGAAGATTGAACATCAAAATGGGTYCTTTGATAAGCGGACTCTCGTGTGGTTTATCCCTTCAGTTTGCTACTTTTTCTGCTTGAATGATTTATAGAGCAAAACAAAAAGCAAACAGAAAAACATTCTTCTGGAAAGGATCACAAATTACTCACAATGACAGGAAAAAGCAGCCGATGTCTACAGAAAAAGTTTATAAAGCTTTCAGAAAGCCTGAAAAATATTGTATAAAACAGAAAAGCTACGAAATGTAACAAGATGGAAGCAGAAAGTAGAAGAAGCAGGACTGATATTCAGGCTGATTTGAGGACTGCCTCAATTTACATTTTTATTTTCCAGGAGACAGCATCTCCTAAAAGATAATGCCTCTTGAATTTTTCCAGTGAGTCACATCTGCATGTCTTTGGGCTACATACTGTATAGTCTGCATTGATAAGTGTACCTGAGGTAAAAGAAATAAAAAAATAGTAATAAAACAAACACTAATTCATAAAACAAGCTAATTTAAAGAATAAAGTATTCATTATGGCAGAATCACAGCAGCCATTTCACACAATCCTCTCAGCAGTGAGTGTAGGCCACCAGCATGAATAATGAACTATAATGTTGTGCTTCTCACCCTTCAATGAATAATATATATACATATATCCAATTCTACCTTCTCTTCTATTTCCGCTTTTTGTCTGTTTCTTTACCAAGGAGGAAGATAAAAGAGCTTCCTGACGTGGCAAACGAAGAAAAAATGTAAGTCCAGTTGAAGACAAAATAACAATGAAAGAATAGCTGATGGAGTGATGAGGATGTTGGAATCCCCATGAACGAGAAGAAACAGGGGAGGAAAAACTGGAAAAGAGGTAGAAGAAATTAGTGGAAACCAAGACTCAAAGTTGGACACCGGGACAAAGTGAAGTGTAAAGTGGACACGGGAGGGGAGAAACATCTGGATGACRTCCACAGCTGCTGGTTATCCACCCTCCAAAGATGGCCTCCAACTTYAACGACATCGTCAAGCAGGGCTATGTGCGCATGCGCAGCCGTAAACTTGGGGTGAGTTAGTGTGTTTTATTTTTGAAATCAGCTTGCCATGGGAGACACTGCCAGGGGCTGCTGTCTGAACAACACAGACCCCAGGATCACAAGGTTAGTCATATCCCTCCACCGCATTGAGGTGGTGATCCCAYAGAGGTGATTATCAGCTATGAGTTTGTTTCATGTAAACAACAAACCACATAAACTATTCAGGGAAAAAGTAAAGCAGATCAGGAACGCAGTATACAAAAAACAGTGTTTGAGAAGCAGAATGTAAACTAAGTTATGAGTGTGGAATGTTTCTATCATAACTGAACATGATATCCTAATGCATTTTTTATGAACTCCCTGTGCACTAAAGGAAGAGTATTCCGTGCATGCCGTTGATTGTTGGCTTGTGTGCTTGTCTGCTCGTGGAACAGATTTATCGACGCTGCTGGCTCGTGTTCAAGAAGTCATCCAGTAAAGGACCTCGTCGTCTGGAGAAATATCCTGACGAGAAGGCTGCTTTAATCAGAGCATGTCCCAAAGTAAGTCTTTGTGTTTTTGTGAAGGATATGTATACAGCTCTTTGTAGGAGAAAACCAAGTGAGGAGTGTTCGCCCAAACACACACGTAYAAACACACACTGACAGAGTTACAAGCAGCCAACCTTCATAATGAAGTCTGACTTCTTTACTTGTGATCTCAGCAGCTTCTCACTCCCCTTTCTTGTCATTCTTCATTATAATTACCTCTACTTCTTCTGGAATGTTAACCCTCTCTCTCTCTCGTACTGTAGTAACCTTCAGTGTAATAATAGATGTAAAAGTGTGCCTGGAATTGGCTATTTGCTTTAATTATGGTAACCATAAATTGAATAAAAATGCACTTTATAATGTACTGTACATGGTGGGACAGCAGTTTTACAAATATTCATACAAAATTCCCTGACACTTTGTATTGATACTGGAATACTGGTATTGATACTCCATTGAAAGTGTTACAGTTTAAATTTCAAATGTAAAGTTTGTCAGTTCCATGCTTAAAAAAATGATACAAGTTGAAAGAAAATCATGTTTGWTATTTTTGTTAATTTTGAAATGTTTCAACAGTATATATTTTGCTTTGATTTGATCCGGTCAGGGAGGCTGCAGGTCTGTAGAAGGAGAGGCACCTTGTTCTAAATCAAAGAAATGTGTTTTTAAAGCCACTGTGTAATGTTTAGGTACTGATTYGGTATCAGCGATTAACCAAACTGAAGTACTCGTACTCGGTTTTAGACTTTTGAGTCAAAAGTCTCAGGACACCACCCTTGTATTTCAGAAAGAAGAGGGAAAATGACATATCTGAGTAATGTGTGAGGGACTGTATCTTTTAGGTCACGTTCAGAACATGACTGCCATCTTGAAAGATGCCAAATTAGATCAAGGGCAACGTTTTCCAAAGATAGACCCCCTCACCCCTTACTTACTGGGGTATTCAGATATGTCATTTCCCCTTTTGTTTCTGAAATAAAAGGGTGTCCTGACACTTATGATGCATACTGTACAGTATTAAGGGTGTCCCAATACCATTTTTTTTTTCTCAATTTGAGTATGAGTACTTTGGTTTTCACCCTGTAAGTAATTTATTTTAAGAAACTTCTGAAGGTCTGTTGTAAATATATCTGTCATGTAGCAAATCCTTCAAGTTCTGGACATTGTGAGGTGGGGCCTCCATGAATTGGACTGGTTTTATCCAACACATGCTCCATGAGATGAGCTCCAAAGAATTTCCAAGCCAGTTGAAATGCCTCACACTTCTTGTTGTGATCCTCAAACACATTCTGCARTCAGACAGGGAGAATTATCTTGCTGAGAAAGGTTACTGCCATACCATGAAGAGATATCCTTGCTCAGCACCTCTGTTTTGGTAGGTGGTATTAAAGTAACATCCATAAAAATGGCAGCAGGGCCTGTGTGATGCACTCAAGCCCTGCTGACCTGTTGTTTTTGCCATTGTGCATTATTACTCCATGTTTCCCCTACAGCAGGATGTGCACGGACCTGACTACACAATAAAACAAGCGTCATGAATACTGTTTTATTAAGAGAAGCATTGACATTTTTAAAAATAATAATCTGAGCTAAAGGAGCATGTCTCTTTGTTCAGACCACACAAGTCAGCAATCCTCATAACACGCATCAGTAAACCTCAGCTGCCAGTGACCATGTTGGCTTTTCTTTGCTTCAGCCACTTCTGCTGACTCCTGACCACAGCAAACTGGGAATTACTTCAAAGTCCTGCAGGTGTATTGTWATAACCCAGCCAGCTGTAACAACTCCTAGGTTGTCCTTGATAAAATAGCTCAAATCCTTTCACTTGGCCATTTTTTTTCTGTCTCCAGCACATCAACCTGAAGGACAGAAAGTCTTCTTGCTGTCTAATAAATCCCACCGACAAACATGTGTATCCTCAGGTGTCACCATAACAAAATGTTTATTATTCACTCTCTTTGCAGAAATAGTTGTTGTGGTTTTTAATCATTTTAGTTTTTTTATGAAGTTCAAATTTATTAGATTTCTAGTTTCTGGAAATCTCGTAAGTGCTTTCAGTAATGCAAAGTAACTCCACTTATTAATTATTCATGATTAATGCGAATAATTTGACTGTAACAGGCTTTTAGTCTCCATTTAGCAAGCGAGGAAGTTGTATTTTCAAAGAGTTTTCAGTTATCAGCTTCAACTAAACCACAATGTTTCATCAAAGTGAACATTTTTTTTAATCACACACACAATCAGCTGAGCTCCATCACTTTGATCACAGTAAATATTTTTGAATTAAATGTGATCTTCACTTTGTTAACACCGTTCCTTCAACCTGTTTCCTAGGTGACAGAAATTAGCAACGTGAAGAACATCACGCGGTTACCTCGGGACACCAAACGACAAGCGGTAGCCATTGTGTTTACAGACGACACCTCACGCACCTTCTCCTGTGAATCAGGTAAGCAATGAAAATTATGCAGCGTTATAAGCTGAAGCTCACGCTGCAMGACACACCTGCCGAACACGGTCTTTAAAAGACACTTTTGTCAAAACACGGTGGAAACAAACTGGAGTGCACAAAGATGAAGGGATTTGTCTTTTTTAGAGCTGGAGGCAGAGGACTGGTTTAAGATGTTGTCTATAGAGTGTCTCGGGATGCGCCTAAATGACATCAGCATGGGAGAACCTGACCTCCTGGCTGCTGGAGTGCAGTGTGAGCACACAGGTACCTCACACACACACACAAACACACACACACACACGCACGCACGCACGCACGCACGCACGCACGCACGCACGCACGCACGCACGCACTGTTGGTGCAGTGTGATCTTTATAGATTGACTCCACACTTGCTCCACTGTCTGGCACAAATAGGATAGACTCCACCCCACACAGGTTGCTCTCGTTGATTATGACAGGTGTGTTTTTACTGCGGAGGTCGGGCCAGAACGGAGCACATGCAGGGTACATTGGGGGGTAAGGCATTTTTTAAAAAAGATTTTCAGGAAACATTGCCTTCTGCTCGATTCTAATCTCCCTTYTCTGCATCATCTGGGTTTTTACTCCCATTGACAAGGATTTCACCAGTAGAATTTCAACCGGGCCAATCAGAGAACAGATGGAGGAGTTGTGTTTCTGCACTGTTTTAATGTGCCTGTAGTTTAACAATGGCAGTGGAGGAAGTGAATGAAGCCATTTGGTCCGTGTTGACTCTTAAATTTGTCTCACAAAGCCTRCAGGCCTCATTTACATCCRTCTCATTCAGCTCGGTACTTCTCTCTTCCCAGCAGTGGACGGTTGTTTGCAGCGTACGCAATTTCCTGTTAGCTTTTTAGCTTAGCTTCCTTCCCGGTCAGGGTGGCGCACTACATATGTCACTGCCAAATATTCATTCAATCCAATTATTTAAACTTCAGCAGAGTCCACTCCTCCAGCAAGCAATCGTTTCTCARTAGCCGAGGGTCCAGACCCTCTGTATGAAACAAAGCGTAGAACAAGGGGCTGGTTTTTACCAGACTAAGGAAACACTAACATCTTAGCTAAAAGTGAACTACATGACATTTTTTGAGATTCCTGACAAACTTGAAAAAAAAAAAAAGACTCAGGCGATTATTGTTGGAAAATGTTGACATTAAATTGCTTACATTAAGCTCACCCACATTTAAATAAATGTAACTTGTTTTTCCAAGTCCATTGCAGGAACTCACTCAGCAGCTTTTTAAAAATGACATGATGTGGACATGAATGTTCCCACTGTTAAAATGAATGGGCTATAGTTGATAAAGTATTGAATGTTACAGTATAGGAATATAATATAATAATAGCACAATTTACCAATCCACTTGTGAAGCTCTATCAGCACTTCTATCAGATATCAGATCCATCAGACTGATCTTTGGTAAATGGTAAAATGGTAAATGGACTGTACTTATAGGGCCTTTCTATCCATCAGGACACTCAAAGCGCTTCACACTACAGACATTCACCCATGCACAAACACATTCACACACTGATGATGGCAAACTACAATTTTGGAGAAACAAAATTTTGTCAAAGTCTAAAAAAAAATTACTGTTAAAATGGCAGTAAAATGTTAGGATCTAGAAGAGATTTGAGAGTTGAGGTTGCCCTGCCTAAAGGAAATCTGGGTTTCATTTTTTTTATTATCAGCGTAAAATGACCTGAAAATTAAAAATTAAACATGAAAAAGACACAGACAAGACAAGCAGTGTTTTTKTTTTCTTGTGTGTTGTCTCAGAGTGGATTTGAACTAATCCCTCAGAAGATCCCATCATTTGGGACATTTTCCAAGTGCAGCCCAACAAAGTGGTTTCCATTCTGGAGTCACTGCTTTCACGACAGTATTACACATTTTACTGGTGGGTTTTTATGTAAGTGTAAGAAATTATGTAAAAAATAAAAAACCACACATATTTATAACTCTTTACAAGCAGCTGGTGTGTTATCCTGAAACCCCTGGCGCTACATTCAGAGGCTTTAGTGACACCAAGTGGCTGCAGGGACCTGAATCAAACAACACAGTGTAATGATGCTAATGTGAAAACTCAAATACAAATTTAGAAAAGTCTTTTTTTGTCAACATTTTTTGTCCAGTGAAACATCTTTTCATGCATTAACTAAATTCCTTTTGTWTTTTTAGAGCGTTTCAACGTGTTCCTCCTTCCATGTCCCAACCTGGACATTTACGGGGAATGTATGATGCAGATCACAAACGAGAACATTTACCTGTGGGACATCCACAACCCTCGCACCAAGCTGGTCACCTGGCCTCTCTGTTCGCTGCGGCGCTACGGACGCGACGCCACTCGCTTCACCTTTGAAGCCGGACGGTGAGACCTGGAGTAGTATTTTTCAGGCATCATGGTGGAAGGATGAAGACTTCCTGAATGTACCACAAGGATTCCAGATGTCATAAACTGCCTGTGTGCACAGCTACAAGCTAAAGTTATCTTTTGGATGTAGTTTTTTTACTATCAGCTGGACGGACACTCGGCTGTGACATCTTCACTGTGAGATGACTAACGGCCCTCAGGGAGTTCAGAACCGCAGCGCAGCAGTTATTTGGCCAAGTTGCATGTTTAGTGTTTTTTTTTTCTACTGCTTGGCTGCAGATGGGCGACATAGATCATTTTTGAAAACCTCTGAATAATAATTTTACACTCTTGGCTGAAATCACAAATAGCTTCACTGCTTCTCCGTGCTAACAGCAGTTTAGGAAATGTGCTGAAAATGTTAATAAAACATTCATATTATTTGGAACTAACAGCTTAAAATATCCATCCTCCATCATTCATCCATCCATCTTTCATCCATCCATCCATCCATCCATCCATCCATCATTCATCTGTCCATCCATCCATCCATCCATCCATCCATCCATCCATCCATCCATCCATCCATACATACATCTATCCATCATCCATCCATCCATCCATCCATCCATCCATCCATCCATCCATCCATCCATCCATCCATCCATCTATCTATCTATCTATCCATCCATCCATCCATCCTCTATCATTCATCCATCCAACATCCATCCATCAT